ATGTTCATTCAGTAAATTCTGCTTTGACTTCTGTTCTATCAACTTGACCAATTCCGTGACTATAGATATTTAAGTTTGTATCTTTTTTTTTCTTTTCTTGTCTTCTCAGACTTTGTTTGTAGTAGACATGACCGGGTATAATGTCCTTTCTTTCGATATTTATAACACAAGTGTGGTCTATATTGATGGTATCTTCTTTGTACTATCAAATTCTTTTCCAATTCCATATACCCTGTTTCAAACTCTTCGTTATTCAATTTCTTTTTCCAAGCTTTAATCTCCAATTTTCGATATTTGTAATATATTCGGGGCTTGAAATATCATTGTTCAACTTGTATCATTTTAACAACTTTCACTAATTTATCCATTACATCTATGATTGTTTTCAACAGTATTACTACACTTTTCTGGCCCTTCATCCTTTGTCCACCAGTTCTAGAAGTGATCTTTCTTTTTTTTTTTTTTTTAATTGAACGATTACTAATCGATTTATACTATCTGTCACTAAGACCCTTAACCTTAATTCAATATTAATTCTCGCTATTCAATACTTAAACTTTTAGTTACACTAGTTTGGACTTTCACATTCGATCACACAGGGTGTAATTCCTGAATAATTTGCTCTGAGGAGAATCTTTGGGCACTTACCACTCACGTAAATTTGTATTTACCAAATTACTCAGATATATGAACATACGTACGATATCTGGATAATTGGTAAGTGCAAATTTACGTGAATGATAAGTGTCCAGAAACTTCTTTAGCTCTGATCTATTAGAAGAGATACACATGATCGAACTGGTCCTGTGCATCATCACATGTCACGCAGCTACCTTATTAATAGTATTTAGTATTATTGTAATAATCTGATATATTTGATTTATGTTAATAAAGAGAAACCCTATAACCTGTAATTATATGTGTTTGTTTATTGATTTAAACCATTAACCTTAATCACTATTTGTTCACAATCGAAGCCAAATTGGTCCAAGACCCTATAAGCTCTCCCACTTGACCGTAACAAAGGCCTAATTAGTAAAAAAAATTCAGATAATCCCCGGATTGGCCGGATTGGTCGGATTAGATCTGAATCTGGGGATTGGATTAATTTCGGTTCAATCCCGGATCAATCCGGGTTTTTAAACCAGAATCGGAACACTACTGATAATCAATATAAGACCAAGCAGGAATCTCTCATAAAAAAATTTCTGGCCACAATATGATTATTATAAATATAATTAATTATGTATAAAAAATAATGATTAAAGTAGTCATGAGTAACACTTAGTGCAACAGGGGATTATGTAATAAATGACACTTCTCTAAGCATAGTATATTATTAAATAAAAAATTAAAATTTAAAAATCAAAAAATCAAATAAATTTTATTTCTGATTAGCAACTTGAGACCTTTATTAATCATGGTAAATTTAATAATAATTTTGAAAGTGGGGTAAATTCATGTATTACAAGTCTTGGATTAGAACTATATTTTTTTAATAGTGTGTTTCAAGCAGCTTTTGTTGCAGCACACAAAAAATTTAATAATTATTTTTTTTGCCATCCATTTTGCCTTCTTTTGTTGCAGCACAAATTTTAGATTTTACTTTATTAAATTGACAACTAATAATCATAATATTCAAAATTATAAATTATTTAGCACAAATTCCTGAATTAAGTAATCTCTCAAACACTTTATTATATAAATGGGGTCTTTACTGTAATATAGATTTGACATTAGTTGAATTTGATAATTTAAATGAATTTTGAAAAAAAATATCTTCTTCTTTTCCGATCTTAAGCAATATTGCATTGCTTTATATTTGGTTACCTATTTTCTCTTGTACAGTTGAGAGAAGTTTTTCTGTCTACAATAATCTTTTAACAGATGATAGACAGAGTTTAAGCGAAAATTCATTAAAAATGTTAAATATGTTGTACTTTAATCAGTGCAAATAATAAATTTTAATAAAAAAATTTTTTTTGTGATTTTAAATATTAAATCAAATTTTTCCAAATTTTTGCTGATATCCAAATAAAAATTTGCAATTTGATATCCAAATTTTTTCATGGCCCTGCCTGAAAAAAATTAGTATGTGATTACTATTGAAATGTAGATCGCTTCACCCTACCCTTAAATAATATTCAAAGCAATAAATTTCAATGTTGCATTATGATTAAAATTGCATAGGAACATGACATGTTGACCACAGTGAAGAAGGAAGTGAACTGTAATAGTGAAAGTGCCATAGAAATACAACATAATGACCAAGACGGTATAGAAAAAAGGCAAAGTAATAACCAAAGCGTAGAAGCAAAACATAACAACCAAGATGCCAATCAAGATGTCAATGCTTTAACTTTAAAAAAAGCAGTACGAAAGTGTGGAAAGTGTAAGCAAACCGGTCACTATGCTCCACGGTGTCCAGATGTCTAGTTTACTTACGTATAATGGAAGAATGTCTATTGTTACTGGATAATAGTTAGATACGTACAATATAATATGTTAGCGTTAGCATTAGATATAGCAATAGCGAATTGATAAGATGTAGATGTTTATTGCCCAATATAATAAAACAGGTGATGTTGCCGTGGGTTAAAAATAGGTATAATCCTTTGTCTATATACAGTATATATATATATAAATTAAACACCTTTTGAATACATAGTCAGACCTCCCTAAATACACGTTCTATGAAAACCCTCCCTAAATGCAAGTTTTTCTTGGACCAACTAATATCATACCCATAGACTTTTACCTCCCTAAATGCAATACCTCCCTAGATGCATATTTGGTTCAATTTTTACATATGATCCCATCGCTACAGACATACAATATGTATTATTAAATAGTACTAATTTATTCTAATTACAGTCGACGCTCTCTAAGTACAATTCATTAAAACCGGGCTTTTAACAATATACAATTAGAGAACAATTTAAAAAAATTGCATTGATAGATAATTTATCAAACATATAATTTGGCCCGACGTTAAGGTTGCACTTAGAAAGGTTGCGCTTAGAGAGGTGTATTAAAAAAGAGAATTATATTTTAATAATCCGGGTTTATTCAAATTCGGTTTACTGTAGAACCGAGTTTTAGCTAGAAAATAAATATTCGGATTTATAAATAATTCTAAAATATCAAAACATTTAAGATTAGATTTCGAAAACTGATAGATAAAGTCTGGTCATTATCACACCAAAAATGGTTAGTTATCTAATTTATCCCAAATTAAGAATTGATTTCATAAAACCGAAGGTTTTTACTACTTTAATTATGCCAAGATAATATTTACCTTATAAAGAATGAGTTATTTTTGGATGCACACATGAGCGTTATTTTAAATTGAGTATGCTATTTTTAAAGATACTTGTTTAACTTCTGAACTTAGGGGTATAAAAGTGTAATTTGTCACCACCCTTTGGATAAAAAAGGAAAAACACCAAATTGATAATTTCACAGTTAGCTTAATTTATACGTATTTAGTTTCACATTTATTTGTAATTTAATTTAATAAAAAATCTATGACGTCGTTTTCATAAAAAAATGAATTACTTTTTTCAGCCCCACTGAATAAGTATAAATATGAATTAAAAAATTTAGCACTCACAAATAAGGCAAAATGATTGGTTAATTATATTTTTACTTACCAAGTCACGTAAATAACGTTTTTCTCGTAACCATTTCTTTAATAAATCTAATGCTTCTGATTGTTGCATTTGACCGTGTTCAACGAGAATATCAGCCAAAGCATCGTTCACGCCTTTCGACATACCTTTAGCATCACTATAAGTCGAAGATCAATTAATATTTTGAATAATAACGCGATACCAGGATAAAATTAGGATAAAATTAGTAAAATGAACTTACCCACACACAAAAATAATAGCATCTTTTTTTGTTATTAATTCAAATATATCACGACTTTGAATCCTCATAAGATCTTGAACATATTTTGGTTTTCCATCTACACCAGCGCCAGGTGCACGACTAACAGCAACAAATAATTCTTTTAAAATTCCTCGTTCTACAAAACCTTCTAATTCATTACGATACAAAAAATCTTTTTCTTTATCTCTACATCCATAAAATAACCACATATCACCTAAATACTTAACATTGTTTATTTTCTTTTCAGATAAAATTTGTTGTTCTCTATGTTGAAGAAAACCAATAAATGGGGCTACACCCGTACCAGGACCGATCATTATCAAAGGTTTTGAAATATCTGAAGGAACATTAAATCCAGATTGATTTGCTTTTAAAGCAATTGGAATGGTTATATTTGAATTTAAAATAGTTCGAACATTCATTTCATTTATATAACCACATAACTTATCCAACCATGTAGTGCAAACACCATATTTTTGTACGTTGTAAGGATTTGGAGTATAATATTCAACGATGTTAAATGCAAAATGGAATTCATTGGGGTTCATAAGGGGAGAATTGACAATAGAGTAATAACGAGGTTGATGTTGTGGTAATGTATCTAGAAGACGTTCTATTGGTGGCTTGCAAGATGGAAAAGTAACTAAAAAATCAAGGATTGTTGGCCTTTGTTCATATAAACGATTAAATTGTTGAGCACCTACATAGAATAATTTTTAAGTCAATAATTAAATTTATTTTTCGAGTGAAACCTAGTTTCTGAGGGTTTTTTGAATCCTCCTAGAGAAACGTGAAACATTAATTTGAACAATAAATGAGATACCTTGTTTGCTACATAGAAAAAGTAGGGATCGTTTTTCTTGATCATCTGAAGTGTAATCGGCCATCATTCTTAATAAAGCTTTACGAGGTAAAGATGTCAAATCAACACCATACCGTAATAGCTCAAAGATCGATGTTGATTCAAATTTTTTCAAATGAAGTGGAAGATCGACTATATCAATAAGAAAGATCCGGTCAAAATTTGTATATGATATATGTATTATTATAGAATATATATACCAATTCCCTCTGCAGCTTCAATAGAAATTTCCTGATGTGCCGCATTTTCATCAATTCCCAAGGTGTTTAAAATTCCCTTCACCAACACTTCATCATTAGGAGCAAATATTTCAAAAGCATCTCCCGGAATAAATGAAAATTCATGACCTTTAATGTCTAATTCCAGATGCAATGTCTTTTTGACGGCATTCGGATGTGTAAGACAACATACAGCATTAATCCTTGCATTAAGGATACGTGAAGAAGTCGTTAAAAAGGAAGGTAATGAAGTGGTAACTTTTTCTCTGTTTAATTTTGAAATTTTACAAAACATAGTTGGTATACGAGGTATGGCTGTGAGCTGATCTGAACTAACAAGATCAGTTAAATCTAGTATGATTTTATTTCCTGGTTGGGTTGACTCTGATTTGCTGCCATTAGTTGTTAAACGCAAATCATTTTCATTAGATTGATCATTAGTAACTTGAGAGTCTATTTGAGTTTTCGTGCTTTGTGAATTATCTTTTTTGTCTTTAATTGAAAGGGACACAATAGAATCAGTAACATCTATCCCACCATCTTTTTGTTTTTGAACGCAAACATTGGCCAAAGCAGGCCATAAATTCGCAATCCAAGGATCTACAACTGATTCCAAACTAAAAAATAATAATAATTTAAATACATGATTGAAGATCATACAGAATCAAAAAAACTTTTTTTACCCAAGCGCATCGTCAGCTAGACCCTTGTCATAAAACGGCGTTCCACTTAAATCCAACAATTTTTTTTCAAGTCGTTTTGCCGTATTATTAAAATTAGTATAATTAGTATCACCTAATCCTGTTTTTTTTTAAAAAGTATATATATATTAATTAAAACTAAAATTGAAAAAAAAAGATTTTACAAAAAAAAAAAGAATACCATTCTACCAAGAATCGAGAATTTTGCATGACTTAAAAATGTTTTTGTTTTAATTTTTCTTAAAAATCGAAAAAATTTTATTGAATTATCTGGTGGATCACCATCACCAGTATTTGACGTTACAAAAATTAACACTTTTTCTTTTGAAAAGTCAACCTATTATTAATAATTTATTAATTAATATTTTATGATTAATAATTAATGATTAATTATTAGCGATAGTTTTTTTTTTTTAGTCGAACCATTGAATAAATATTCAATAAAGTGCATATACTTTTTCATAATCATCTAGAACATAACATTCACTTGTAAATCCACGCTCTATTGATTCTTGATGAATGTTTTTGGCAATCCATTCTGCATTTCCTGTTTGGGAGGCGTAAAAAATTACAAAATTCTGGCATTTCTCCGTGGCCATGATCGTTTAATTTTTTTTTAAAAAAAAAAATAAAAAAAATGTTGATTTGTTGATTTGGTGCAATAAATCGAAATGCGAATTTTAATTGAATTGAGTTAATCTTTTCCTAAATTAGGCTAAAAGGCGTTATTGACCATAGCGACCAATGAAAAAGTTAACACATGTATAATATGTACTAACTGTTAATGTTTTGCTCATGTAATCAGCGTTATACGGTAATCACATGTAAAGGTTATATCAAAAAAAGGTTAAACAATTTGCATTCTTTTTTAATTAACCAATAACGTATTTAAAAATTTTTTTATTACGTAGTTGAAGCTCTATGAAAGCATAAAATTATTTAAAATTGAGATCATTATTGTTATGGTTCCCTGCATAATTATAAAAAAATAAACAGGAATGATAACTTTAAAGTTTAGTCAAAATTTGTAAAAGAAAACACAAAAGTATTATTACGATAATACACAGCAAACAGGTAGGACAGGTAATGACAGATCTGTCATAGTTAATGTGTAAAGTAATACCAAGATCAGCGAAACGAATGATAAATTGTGTTTCAAGTGGTGTTATCGTTTATTCAAAATCATTTTGTCATTTTGCCTACAGATTATTTCATTGACGTTAACATAATTATTTTGTCATTCTGCTGAAGTTAACATTATCGTTATACAGCGTGACAAATTTATATTATTCGTAAATTGTCACATAGCGTGAAGTTGGTAAAAAAAACGAGCCCACGCGTTTTAATACATTATTAATGTTAATATTAATTAATAAGTTAAAAATGGTTAAATCAGGTGATCAGTGGTTAATAATACTACGTACTAACAGTTTTAATTCGCTGGGATACTAAATATAGTAAGTATGTGCAAGACTCGAGTATTATTTCACCTTTCTATTAATGGTTCATATAGCTAAATATACTTTACACGACTTAAAAAGTAAGAGTTCAGTCTGCAGCAGCAAAAGGGCTAGAATCCTTAGTTTTCACAATTTTCACAATTTTCACAATCCAGAGAAAGTAAGGATTGTCACTTTTACTTTATTTTGCAATGGCTATGTACATTAGGCGTTTGTGAAATTTTAGAATTAACCCAAAATATGAAGTGCATCATTTTATTCCCACAAAAAAATGAACTTGACGTTGCTTACCATCATATACAGTACTATTCGAATTTTTTTTACCAACGCGTCTTAATCATGATTGTGATAAATAGATGTGACTATAGCAATGATTGTCGCGCTTTTCCTTTGAAGCAGAATTGTTGAGTTGTTATCAGTTATAATGTTTATAGTCCAACTTGAATACAGTACCTACCTGACTGATAACAAAAGCATCCAACATATAATAACCAAATATTTGAATACTAAGGCTACAAATTTGGATGATTTTACCCGAAACAAGTACGTTCCTTATATTCTTGGTTGATCAGGGTTTTACCGAGGGGGGCTGAATCAGAAAATTGTAATAACTATATATATGTATATTACAATAAGCCATAAATAAATACAGAAAGAGATCCGCTAGCGCCAATACTCATAATACTCAACGTAAAGTACTTAAATACTTGCAGTTTAACCAATCAAGTGTATCAACGTCACGCCTGATTGAGCAATTTTATTGGTCAATACACGTATTAGTATGCGAAAAAAGACCGATATTTTCATTATCTGTTATCGTTATGTTCTGAATAATTATACGACAGGAAAACCTAAGCCAAGAGTATTAATAATATTATTATTATAAAATAAAATTTATCCACATATTAATACATTTAATACATATACATACGTACTTATTCATGTTTAAATTATTACAGCATTAAAGAAAATTTCAGCTTAAGCCACCATATTATATGTATTAGTAGTTTATTTAAGCATACAATAAAAGTTTAACCTCGATATAATCACTAATTACTGTATGTATATCAAGGTTAAATTTTACTAAATTTATAATTCAATAGTTTGTTACCTTATTCTAAAAATTTACCAGTATACGTAACAACTTGAGCATATACTGTAAACTTTAATTTGAGCATATTTTTCAAACTTTTATAGATTATATAGCAGATAGTGCATAAGTTTTAAAGCTATTTTCAAAAAAGAAAACCGGTATAATAACATAATAACATAACAGATAACGATAATACTGTACATAATGTAGCCAATCAAATACAGCATTAATCTTTGTTATAAGATTTTGTTATAACAAAATTTTAGGTTTCAGGGGAACGACTATTTGGGTTGACAATTAACTTTTTTTTGTCACAATATTTATTTCATTAAAAATTTCAAAAATTCTTTTGTTTTACGTATAAAAAATACGCAGATTCGGATATTCTTTCAAATTATATAATTATTCCTTGAAGTAGGATTTAGCCTCTAAATGAAGAAAAATATATCCTTTTAGTATTATCTTAAGAAAAATTTGAACAAATATTATTAAAAATGGTTAAATAATACGATATTAAATTATTATACATATATATTATTTACGTGTCACATACCCCTAAAATTTTCTATTCATTAAATAAAATCTATTATTAAATTTATTTATTTATTTTATACGTAAACAAAAGTTATACAAACAGATTCTCGGTAAAGATAGTTTTGTTAACTTAATTGGTTAGACTAAGTATACTAAGTATTGTAAATGACATTTCATGTGACTCAAGTAAAAAAAAATCTAGAATTGCACAAACCCCGTAAATGCTGCAAAAAACTAAACTCTCTGTAAAGGTACGTATATCAAGTTTGGTGTGACTGTAGCAAGAACGTATCCAGTATCTGTTACAAGCCTCCCTCGTATCACATAATTCGAATATTAGAACATATCAATAAATATTCAATAATATGTATTAATATGCGATAGTATCTCCTTTTTAGTGAATGAAAAAGTCGGATGACAATATACATGCAGATGACATGCAAAATTATTATATTTAGTTCTGTGTTTATCTCAATGAAGATTGTTTGTGTACGCAAGTAACGATGTTATTGAAGTCATCATTAAATTTATAAATACCATTTACCATTTTAAAATTGAATACTAACGAGGGAGAAAACTACATAAAAATAGCGGTGGGTTGATTTTTTACATTTTCGCTGGACGAAAACAAAAAAAATCCTTTTCTTTTTTTCTTAAAACGGATTGTTAATAAAAAAAAGAAAGGTATAAAAAAAAAAAACCAATAAAGGTAAAAAAATAAAATAAAAAGTAGAGATGATATCATCAACACCATCCGTAAATATCCAAACTCCATCGTTCACAAATTTTCCCGAAGCCCAAATTTCTCAATCTCAAATATCTCAAGCATCATCTTCGTTCGTAAATATTAATCTTACAACAGATACATTTTCTCATACATCAGCTAGACAATCAGATATTATTATCGGAAATGAAGCGATAAATACATGCTTAGAAATAAAATTGGTTGAACCAGTTATATTTTTTAGCAAACCTGAAGAATCTGTAGGATGTATTTTAAGAGGTGATCTAATTCTGTATTTATCTAAACCTACAAGAATTCGAAAATTAGAAATGAGTTTTGTTGGTTTGTCTGAAACTGTATATAACGAAGGTAAATATTACAGTAATGAATTAGAGATTAATCATAATTTAAATTTAATAATAATTAATTATTAATATTATTGTTATTATTGTTATTATTGTTATTATTGTTATTATTTTTATTATTTTTATTGTTATTAGAACGAAAAAAAATTCGAAATGAAATTATTTCTCATAAATGGAAATTTATAATGCCACAAGAAGAACAAGAACAAAAACGAAAAAATTTTTTAAGAAATCCATTTCGAAAAAATAAAACAGCAAAATTACCAGCAGGAATTCATACATTTGCATTTGAAAAATTTCTACCAGGAAATTTACCAGAAACAATAAATACAGAATTAGGAACTGTATCATACGAATTATATGCAAAAGCTTCAAGGTCAAAATTTTTACCAAAATTACGTTTACATCAACCAATTGAAATTTTACGTACAATACCTGATCATATAAATTCACAAGGAATAGCTGTTGCTAGAGAATTTAATGATATGTTATCATACGAAATTTCAATTCCAAAAAAAGCTTATCCATTAGGACAATCAATTCCAATTGATATGAAAATTTGTCCATATATAAAAAAACTTGAAGTAAAAGGTGTAAAAGTTGATTTAGTAGAAAAAACGACTTGTACATCACCTTTAAAACCAAAGATTACAGATGTTAGAATTGGTGCAACTCAAGTATTGAATAGATTTGGAGAAAATCGTTTAATTGACGATCATGAAGATGGAGATGTTGGAAATGTTGTTTATCAACAAACGATGAATTTAAATTTACCAAAATGTGCTGCTCCACTTCATTATTCATGTAATACTCCATTAATTAGTATATCACATGATTTAAAATTTGCTTTCAACTTATCTTTACCTCAAGATCCACCGAAAAAAGCCGAACTTAAAATTAGCTTACCAATAACAATATTATCTTGTAGAGCAGTAGATGATTATGTGGTATTACCTAGTTACGAAGATGATAGTTATTATTGTCCTTGTGATCCTGAATATTTGAGAATGGCAAGATTAGTATTAGGTGAAGATATTGGATATCGATTAGAAAGTAAATGTAAAATTAGTGATCACCATCATAGACATTTTCTTAATATACCTGGAAGAAATCAAGATCCACCTAGTTACGAAGCTTCTATTGCAGAAAGTTTTGATTCTAGAGGAAATTACGTTTATTAATTTTTTGAATTGAGATTGATAATTTTCGGGTTTTGGTTTTCAGTTTTCGGTTTCTACATATTGACACCCTACATATCTCTACAAATTGACACTCCATATATTGATTCTCTATATATCGATTCTCTACATATTACCTATATTACCTATATTACCTTTATTTTTTTTTTTTTGTCAAATATTTTTGTATATACAATATATCATAATAGACTTTTTTGTTTCTTTTGGGAATTTGGGCATTGAGAGCATTTAATCGATAAATATAGTATAGAAAAATGATAAGTATAAACAGAATGTTTATACTAACATTGGCGCGGTAGATAAATTACGTCTCTTATCTGGAAAAGATAAGAGCAAAAAAAAAAAAAAAATGAAAAAAAAGTATAATAAACAAATATATATCTGATATCTGATATATTTTTAAATCTTGATTACGTATTATTAACGTTAATTGGTTACAATTAACAATTTGGGAATTTTATTAAACCACGTTGTATCATGTGTATACAAAGATTAACCAATGAAAAATAATATCAGCCAATGAAAGTTTACTAAAATAACTAAAATATATACTTAAAATACTAAATATTACATAACTTTTGTATTAAAATAGGGTTTCATTAGCGTTAGTGTTGCTAGTGTTATTAGTGCTATTAGTGTTAGGTGATACCCGACAATACAGCAATAACGATAATTCTTTTTCGATAATAAGTAAATAGTAAGCCCCACATTTCGGGGGTAAAAGAATTTTTACTGGTTAAACATTTCGGCATCAGTATGTTGATGATCTTTGAAAAAGGTGATTCGTTCCACTATTCTTAATTTGTATATTTACGCATGACGAATTTATTATAATTGTTTATCGAATATTATCGATATCTGATATATTATTTATCGAAAATTTATCACACCACACTTAAAAAAATTAAAAGAAAACCTTAAATTTATTATTGTCGGTCAAAACCGCGAAAAGCCGGAAAATACTTTTTCAATTACTATTCTTTAAAATTGACTTTTCTTAAAAATGAATTAGAATAAAAATTTAAAAGATTCAGTTTAAAAAAAAAAACTGTTTTCTCTAAACTGAATTTTCTTTGTTTTTAATCTTAACGATAACGATAACGGATATAAGTTGCTTACGTATAAACTTTATCAAAGTTTTTACTATATTTAATTATTGAATGGCGTTCTAAAATTTCCAAATGCATATATATCATATTTATTTGTGCCGCACAATGTTTCGATCGGCAAGGGGACGACCGGAAAACAACATACTGACAAATTATTTTGCTTCAAAAAAAAATAAGCCCAAAATTCAATGAATAAGATAAACAATTGATAAACTATGTTAGTATTACGATCAATTCCTAATTCCTTGGCCGAAAAAAATATATATATATTCATTTCCATTGTTGTACTATTGTCGTAACAAAATAAATATCGAGTTTTGCCGAACCAAAAATTATCATATTAGTAACCAAGAATGATATAATTAGTTCCATATTAAGGCATGACACTTTCTTGAGATATATTTAGATACATCTTGCTTGCAAAAGTACCACTATCGTGCCATTCAGCCACTTCTGTATTAGTTAGTATTAATAATTCAATAATTCTCTATATGATACGTATAAAAATATCGATAATTTGATTAGCTTTATCTTTTTTATATAAATACCAACCTTTTGACTTTATCTTGTTTTTTTCCTCACGGATATGTACTCAGGTTGACTACAAGGCCAAGGCCCTTTATTCCATCTAAAATTTTTGGATCTAAAATTTATTGGGTTGTCTAGAATAAAAATCTTTGAACCTCCATAATGTCGGCTGAATTAGATAAAAATAATTCCGACTCTTCTTCATCCGATGAGATTACCACTATTGTCGTTATTGATGATAGTGGTGGTGCTAAGGGTGCTACAACTTCACACATTATTCAAAAACATGGAATCATTATCAATGATAATTTTAAACCTCTTTCTACCTATGAGGCTGAGAAGAGATTAACAACTTACGGCAAGAACGTTATTGCTGCGTATCAACCTTTACGATGGTATCGTATCATTTTTAAAAAAAGTGTTTCGTAAATTATTTATTACTTTTATATTTATTTATTTATGCACATATATATTATATATATATATTTATATATTTATATATATTTATAGGTATACAGTACTTTACTACGCGACTCTTCACCCTTTCAATCTCATCTTGATCGGTCTTGCAACTTTCAGTGGTGCTACTACGGATTTTACTACAATGACAATTTTATTAATCATGGTTATTTTATCTGTCGGAATCCGTTTCATTCAAGAGTATAAGAGCGAAGTTGCTGCTCAAGCTCTCAAAAATATGGTCAGCAATCGTACTTCCGTTATTCGTCTTTATTCTCCACCTGATACTCGGTAATTATTTCATCATGAACCGTTTATTTATTTATTTTATTCTTTTTTATTATTTACTTTATTATTTACTTTATTATTTACTTTATTATTTACTTTATTATTTACTTTATTATTTACTTTTTTTTAATAATATTATTAGTGATCCAACTCTTGACGATTTAGAAAAAATGGATCGTGGAGATACTGATGAATTGGACATTCCATTAGAAGATATCGTTCCCGGTGATTGGGTCAAACTTTCTGCTGGTGACCTAGTACCCGGTGACTTACAATTAATCTCGTCAAAAGATCTTTTTATTTCTCAAGCTTCGTTAACAGGTGAATCAATTCCTGTTGAAAAATTCACTGCCGATCATCAACAACCTCCAATTATACCTGAACCTAATGAAGCTGTTAAAATGGAAAAATCGGAACTTGAACGTCCTGATCTTTGTTTTATGGGAACTTCTGTTGTAAGTGGAACTGCAACAGCTGTTGTTCTCAAAACTGGTTCAAATACTTTCTTTGGTGTTATGGCAAAAACTCTTGCCAGTAAACGATCGGTCAATATTTATGAAGTTAGCATTCGTCGTATTAGTTTTTTATTCATTGGAATTATGTTAGGGATGATGCCTCCAGTTTTATTATTACAAGGATTTTTAAAAGGAAGTTGGAGAGATGCTGTACTATTCGCTATTGCTGTTGCTGTTGGTTTAACTCCCGAAATGCTGGTAAGTTCCTCCTTGATTTTTATTTTTTTATTTTTTATTTTTTCTTTTATCAATTTTTTTTATTTTTTGACTTTTTATAAAAAAAGCCCATGATCGTAAACGCTAATTTAGCACGTGGAGCTATCGCCTTGTCCAAACATAAATGTATTGTAAAGAAACTTGATTCTGTTATTAATCTTGGTAGTATGGATGTTTTATGTACGGATAAGACAGGTATATATATATATCATTATCTATGTTTTGTTTATTAATTTATTATTATCTAAAAATCTAAAATCTAAAATTTAAAATAAATTATGTTTATTTTAGGAACTTTAACCCGTAATAAAGTTGAACTTATAAAGCATCTTAATTATCAAGGAAAAACTTGTCAACTTCCTTTATTTCTTGGATATCTTAATAGTTATTTTCAAACTGGTCTTAAAAATTTAATGGATGTAGCTGTAATTGAATTTTATGAAAATCCCGAGTTAAATAATACCCCTGGTTTTTCCAATTTATCTCAAAGTTTTATTAAAGTTGATGAAATTCCATTTGATTTCGTTAGAAGAAGAATGTCCGTTATTTTAGAATCTAATCAAGATGATCATCGTTTCTTGATTTCTAAGGGTGCTTTGGATGAAATGTTATCTTGTTGTAGTCATATTTATGTTGGAAGTGGTATTGACTTTGTTGATGGAATTTTCCCTACTACCGATATTATTCCTTTAACTCAAGACATTTTAGTTTCTATTAGGAATTTAAATAATACTCTTAATGATGATGGTTTAAGAGTTATAGGTGTTGCATTTAAACGTATGAAAGAACGTGTTGAATTCTCTGTAGCTCATGAAAGTGATTTAATTCTCGTTGGCTTATGTGGTTTCTTGGATCCTCCAAAACAAAGTGCTAAACCTGCCATAGAAGAATTAAGAAAGTATAATGTTGAAGTTAAAGTTCTTACAGGAGATTCACCCGTCGTATGTCGAAAAGTTTGTGAAGAAATTAATCTTCCAATAAAATCTATTGTAACAACTAAAGATATTGAAGGTCTTGATGATACTCAATTAGAAGAAATCGCCGAAAGAGCTACAATATTTGCAAAATTAACTCCTTTACAAAAAGCTAATATTGTATGTGCCTTGAAAAGACGTAATCATATTGTAGGTTTCTTAGGTGATGGAATAAATGATGCTCCTGCAATTCGTGAAAGTGATTGTGGAATTAGTGTAGATGAGGGAACTGATATTGCTAAAGAATCTGCTGATATTATTTTACTTGAAAAAAGTCTTATGGTACTTGCCTACGGTGTAATTCGTGGAAGATTAACTTATGGAAATACTATTAAATATATTAAAATGGCTATTTCATCAAATTTTGGAAACGTTTTTAGTGTATTGGTTGCATCTGTTTGGTTACCTTTCCTTCCTATGGCACCAATTCAATTAATTTTGCAAAATCTTTTGTATGACATTTCCCAAATTAGTATTCCTTGGGATAGAATGGTATATATCAAAAATTTTCTTTTTTTAAGTATAAAGTACCGGTTCTTGTCTAATAATTAATTATTAATTAATTATTAATTAATAATTGTATTATATTTTCAGGATCCCGACTTTTTGGTTCATCCAAAACGATGGTCTACAAAAGGAATCTTCTGGTTCATGGCATTTGTTGGACCATGGAGTAGTATTTTCGACATATTAACATTTACGTTCATGTGGTTTTACTTCCAATGCAACGATGCCAATGATGCTTACAAAGTTACTCTATTTCGTACGTATAATATTTAATAAAATTATAATCCATTAATTTTTTTTTTTTTTCAAATTTGATAATAATTTCAAATTATTTTTTTATTAAAGAATCTGCGTGGTTCGTCGAAGGTCTGCTCACTCAAACACTT